TTTTCGAGTCTAGCCTTGCAATTATGGATGTTTTTGGGTGCTCAAATCACACAAAACCAAATGGAAAGTGACAGCTTACCATTGTCAATAGCTAATTGTAGTGGTACAATGAATAGTACATTAATGAATTGGACAACGACTACAATGATATCCACTTTTTTGAAGTAAGATTAGTGATAAGAATTTTTTAAATAAATTGTCACAGAAAATAGAATGTAATTTTCATCTAGGCATGATCTTCTTATTGACTTGTATTCTGTGAGTTATCTGTGGTATTCACCGATCGCAGTCGGTACCGTTGTGCTCGTCGGTATGATTGTTTCCTATTTAACTCATCCACTTCAAGCACATGAGATCGATCCGAAATTGATTGTACTAGTGAGTGATGTCTGCTGCTGTTTTTTACCTAAACGATGGCATGAATGGCTTCAATGTGGTATCGATTATGAAACCTATCGAAAGAGACAGGTATATCAGTTCGAATATGAATATAATTTTATTTGAATTTTATTTTTTGAAGAATGATAACAATGAATTAGAAATGGTGACTAATGATACGCAACGTTCTGGTCGTGAAAGTCCTATTGTACCGCTGCTCGATACCAACTCGAATGTATTTGTCACAGGCAGAATTAAACTTCAGGCAAAATTGATTTCGCCAACACACCCGAACAAGAATTGTAATTTTGACTAGTCGAAAATCGTTCTGAATTTTACGGTTTTCACTGATGCTCATTCTAGCATAGACGCGCTAAAGTTGATTTTCAAGGAAACTATTTTTCGACATTCTTCTTCCTGAAGCTAACTGAGGGTGTGGGTGTGGGTGTGGGTGTGGGGTGTGGGCGTGGGTGTGGTTGTGGGTGTGGGTGTGCATGTGGGTGTGGTTGTGGGTGTGGGTGTGCATGTGGGTGTGGTTGTGGGTGTGGGTGTGGGTGTGGGTGTGGTTGTGGGTGTGGGTGTGCATGTGGGTGTGGTTGTGGGTGTGGGTGTGTGGATACAAATCTCTGCCTAGTCGCACGGCAATACACGCCCACACCCACACCCACACCCCGCATCCACACGCTCACACCCTATCGTTTCTCTATAATGAATTTTGTTTGGCATGATCAAATGTAGCGCAAAGTTATTCCAGCAATTTGTTTAAGACATGCTTGTCATGGCTCTGGCCATGGGCTCTCTCTTCGTTCCCGCTCAGTAGTCATGCATATCAGTGGTATGTGCTTGAGGTATGTCTCGCTCTCTGTTGTTCTGAGTGTTTCTTCATTTGGGTTTTTCATTCGATTGCTGATAAGAGAGTAGTGAGGTTCATCAACGTACTCTAGTGAAATTTCTCGTGTGTTACGACGGGATTGTATCCATCCAGTTGTAAGACGGAGAGGAGATACTGTTTCTTGTACAGTGGCAGTAATTTACAGCTGTTCGGTAAGAAGAAGATGCAAGATTCGATTCCTCGCAAAGGGGACTATTTTTTGCTCCGTTCTATTGTCATTCCATCGCGCTGCTGCTCCACGCATACGTAAGAACTTGAAAGCTTGAACTCTATCAGTAAGTTCTTATACGTTACTCAAAGAATACTTCATTTTCTTGAACAGTTGTTGAGTTGCTCTCAAGACGAACTTAGTTTTTTAAGAAGTTCATCGAGGGTGAGTATGACCGATTTCGTTTATGTGTATATTTCCACATTTCTCGGCCACAAACCTCCCGATGAGCACCGAGACGAGCAAAGCTAGTGACCCAGAATAGAAATGATGACTGAAACGACTATTAAGATCAGCTTTCTCCCATTCCCTACTCGTGAGTATTGCCATTTGTTTGTTCGAACTTGCTGACGTACGTATGACGCTGTATTTTACCACACCAAGACACACGACACAGCAGAGAAAAGAAAAACTAACTATCATTGCAGTAAACTTGCTCTTAAATTGAAGGTTACATATGATATGAAGTATGATAAGACAAAAATACAACTATTTATCTGTCCTTAAACTAAGCAAAACAGGTGTCACACCGAGGAAAAAGTAATCTAACTGTTACACGCAATATACTCGACAGACTTGTCGCTTATAGTATTAATGGCAGAGACAATAAACACAGCTGAAATGACAAAGGAAGAAGCATTGATCACGGCAGCATTCCGAAAAAGGTATTTTTTTTTCTTTTGTATAAAAAAATACAATACTTATACTTTTTCAATCATCACCGACACATTTATCTAACAGATAGCCCATCAATAATAATGGTTGTAGTGTTTCGCAAATTTTTCATTCTGTTTTATCTCTCGGATTTGGTCTTTTTTAAAAGATTTTCCAAGCAATTTTCTACGAATCCACATGAAGAGATTTTGTAGACAGTATAAATGTAAACATATACGTGGTAGTCGCCGATATGTTCTCACATTCGAATTTTTCGATTTTTTACGACATTTTCTTAACCTATAGGTCATCAAATAAAATCATTAATTTCTATGGCCGAAACTTTGAAAAATTCAAAGGACTAGGTTTCTTTCTATCTTTGCTGAAAAAGACGCGCACGTCACAGTAATTTAAAGCCTGATTAGTATCAAGGAGAAGGACAAGTACTAACTATAGTGAAATTTTGCGTTGCCAAATAGGCCATAGTAGAGCATACCAGTATTTATCATATAGGGCGTCAGAGTTTTATTATCTAAAAAATCGTTTCATATGGTTTTGAAGAGAACTGAGTGGAAATTCTTTGATAAAAAACGAAATCTTAGGAATAAAAATTGTATGAGATATTTACGAAATACTGAGAATACCATTCCTCATGTGCCTGCCATAGATTAGTTTCTCGGAGTCCACCGAGTCATCGAGAATATTTTCTTTTAGCACTCTCAGTCATAGATGGAACCCGTCTAGGTTTTTGACGACCGATGCCGGTCTACCGGTATTTACCTGTAGATCGGTATCTGATCAGTAGACCTGCTGGTCTAAAATCCGCATCAGTACCCGACCGTCATTATCGTTTCTATATATGATACAATGTGAACAACAGAAAAAATTATAGAATTGTTTATACGGAACATGTTCAAATTTTTTTGTATAATTTATTTTCATGAAATTCGAACAAAATTTTACTATACATTCAGTATCCGACTGCGATTAGAGTCAATAAGAACGTTGCACGAGTTTCTGTAATAAACACAGGAAAGTAGAAAAATTAGACCGGCAACGTACCAGTAGACCGGTATACCGGCCGATCTAAAGTCCGTACCGGTACCGGTTCCATCTATGCTCTCAGTCGCAAGTTTCCTGATTAGTGTTGAGTGCATGTTAAATATGAATGTTGGTGTGATTTGGGGTCAGATGGGGCGTATCTTAGGACATCGATTGAACAGTCGGGTTGAAAGGAGAGCGGAAGTAACATGCAGCTAAAAAATCATGTATGAAGAATAAATTTCATGGAACACTGAATAATCCGGTAGTTCATTTGTCATGCAAACTTCAATCCGACGTGTGATATTCACGTACAGTTCTGAACCAAATTCCGATTTCATATCTAGTAATCTCTTGTTCTTCTTTTTTTATGTGCAGAACCAATGACGAGAACGCAGATGCATACAAAATCTTAAGCATTCTCTATGGTTTGGGTAAGTCATGCTCGATTTTGATCAAAAGTGCACAATGAATCATCGTCAATTTTGCAGTCAACGATTGCCCCATTTCTTTAGAATACAGATGTCGGCATTTGAAGTCGGATTCAGGTCGATTCCAAGATTGACCTAAATCCCAGTTTGGACCTCGAAGAATATATACGTATATATGTCATATGGAAGTTATCATATTTGTTGAAGTTACACTTTCGACCAGGAACGGTATCGAGGCTGTTGTTACTAGAATGAAATGATAACAGACCGACATTTATACATATATAGATAAAGAATAGTACGTTGGGAATTCTATTTCACTGTGTTCACTGTTGATAAACAAATAGAAATCAAACACTGGACGGTAGAGTGCAGGTCTTCAGATACCAGATTTCCAATGAACTTTCTCGAATTTACGTAGAACAGTAGTATTGGTTAGAGAGATTGATATCAACTATATTCTTAGCTGTATGACTTGAGGTACATTTTTATAATGCTAGGCATATTTCTTGTACATCACTCACCATATGAATGTTCCGCTTTCATTAATGAAAATCTATTCGACTTTCGCTAATTCGTCCTCCTGGATATTCGCCAATACACTGCTGGATTTTCACCAACAATTGGCGAAGTTCCGGAATCCCTATTGAACAGTCTAGGAGTTTCATTCAACATGAGTAGATTCACTTGAAATGACAGGGCGCATACCACTCTAAATTGGACTCACGGCTTTTTGTTGTTTCAACTTCAATTTCCACCTATATTCTTATGGAGTTTGGCGAGCTGAGCATTTTTGTGTCGGAATTTCGTTTTCAAAATAAAAGCCCTTAAAAGAAAGTATAGTGTGTACTTTTGACCATTTTCTTCTATTTATCTATTTCCTATTTGTAGTCTGTTGCTCTCTTCATCTCACAATCTAAAAGCCATATTCTAGTGTATTTTTCCTCAAAATATCAACTTTTTCGGTAGTGTCTCGGCAGAATTGTACTTCACAGATATAACTCCTACAAGGTCTCATAACAAGAACTAAGCAGTTGATCATTCAGCAAAGCTAATCCTTCATATCACCACCAAAGCGAACTGGACCGTACAGGCTGTTATTGAAGTACCAAATATGACTGAATACAGCAATATTTTGAGTCTTCTTGAAATCAAATTCTACTCAAAACTCTAACATCAGAATCGTATTCAGCACCAAAAACCGATTCTTTCTATTGATGCCTCAGAAAGTTTCAGCTAGTTTTTGCATCGCAATTTTCAGCCTGGATACCCTCACCCTCAACAAAAATAAATTCAATAAAACTTCGTTTTATTCATCTATCGGTTCTTTTCGCTTTTCCTAGCTTCTTACGTGCTCAGACCTGCGTTTGTGATAAACAAGCTAACAGTCGATTGACTTCATTTTTCTTGTGCCCCCAAGGCGATGTAGACTGAATTTTTCGACGAAAAAAACTATTAGAAACTTTCTGAGACATTGATCTATTATTGTATTTTTGATCGACGAAAATCGATTCGTTCACATCAAGGAATCCGAATGATGATCAACTCTTCTGAAGAGAAAATATTTGTCAAAAATGAATGGTTTACAAGAAACAATATTTCCCTTTTTTTGTGTTGAGATGCTATATCGATAAAACCTAATATTTCGATTCAATTCTTGTTTTGACTGGAATTCAGTGTTTAACTAACATCAGCGATGAGAAGTATTCACTAAAGCCTTCTTCATTAGTAGTCATCCCTGAATTGACAATAAAATTGAAGAATATATTACAAGAACCGATTGTTCTAATCCGACGACGAAAAATTTTCAAAATATTTTCAGACGACGTTCTGACTGGAGAAGCCGTTGTAGTTTGATCGTATTCGACTAAAAAAGATCTCATCAACATGATCAAACTCGAAAAACAGCAATCAGATAATCATCTCGCGTCAGTTGTTCACTAATGTCCGCGCCATAATTAAAGAGGGATTGATGTAAATTGAATAACTCAACAACGACAAGAGCTAGCGACCTGCGGTTTTCACTAATCGAAAGAGGAGGCCGAGGAACGTATTTTTTCACCATATTGTTTCAGACAAAATTATTCTGG